TGAGGGTAAAGGAATTAACCTCTGGCTCCTTTGGTGAGACTGAAGGTTCACGCTGATTTTAGCTCCACATGTCCTGGTCTTGGCTTGTGCAGAGGTTTATGTGTCAAATCTGTGTGTGTCATCCTTTGGAGCATATTCCAAAAAGCATAAGCCCTTAAAGGGTTTTGATTCAAAACCTGCTGTCTGGAGCTGTTTTGTTTGTAACACGACTTAAATCAATTCTTTTTTTTTTCTTTTTTTTTGACACTTTGTTTTTTTTTTTCCTTCACAGACAACACTCGTTTCTGTAATTTACAGACATCTAAAAATGATTAAGTAACGTGTTTTATTTATCAATTTATTAAATAATTCATGTGTCGCAAAAGATCGAATGCTGTGTGTCTCATCACATCAGTGCATCTCTGTGTGCATAATTCACTGTGAGTTTATGTGACAAGAAACAAAGTGCATCTGAGCTCGTTAAGCATCAATTTGTACATTAAAAATGCATTTTGGGAAGGGAAAAACAGTAAGACATCTAAATTTGTCATTTCTAATAACTTCATATCATGCTGGCCAGAAACTGTCAGAACTAAGCATTTATCTCCTTTAATATGTCTTTAATGAGGTTCATATGATTACATGGCTGCAGCAAATTACCGGTTGTCTTTACGTCCTTGATTTTCTATAGTTTCTAGTACTAATATAGAAATAGACTGATATTTACAACTTACGCGTGCTTTAAATATACTTCCTCAATCGAAAAGTTAAAACAGAATGCATGCCACGGTCGAAAACGTGTGCTGGCGCCACTTTGAAGAGAAAAAGATCTGACGGATAGCTGGAAGTTGTGAAGTGTACTGACAGGCGCGTTTGGAGAGGACCCTTCGGGGCGCACAATAATGTTAGAAAACCGAGCATCAAAGAGGACAAGAATAAATCACATAAACGCATTTAACACGACTTTGGAAGTAGATGAGTGCAGGAGCCGTAACGCAGCGCACTCCGCTAAGCTTTCACACTGGATGTGGCGCTTTATCTCCCCTTTCTGCAGCAGCGTTTACAAAAGTTCATTTGTCACAGGATTAACTGTGACTCCGCAGACTAATAATGGCAATAAAATAATAATAATTATTATTATGGCTGATTAGTGTATCAAATAAAATAAAAGTAAATACACCACGACAGGAATGAATGAATTTATTTATTTATTTATTTATTTATTTATTTATTTATTTATTTATTTTGCGTTTGGAAGCTTAAAAATTGTGTCTCCATTCATTTCATTTCCATCCCCTCTCTGAAGCGATACAAATGGCAACTTGCCACAACTCCCGTTCAATTACACAAATTTTAGATAAACGGACTGCGGAAGAGAGAGAGGGAACAGCGCGGATGTCCGAAAGGTTTTCCGAGTAAAAGCATCCAGGGTTCACTTGCTCTGCGCGTTCAGCCGGTACCATCTTCTGGATCTGGACGCGCGTATATCTCCGGACGCATCACTTCAGGAAAAGACGCTTTGGAACCAGCCGTCACTCCCCCCCCCCCCCCCCCC